TCTACTCTACTCTACTCTGCTCTACTCTACTCTACTCGGCTCTACTCTACTCGGCTCTACTCTACTCTACTCTACTCTACTCTACTCTACTCTACTCTACTCTACTCTACTCTACTCTACTCTACTCTACTCTACTCTACTCTACTCTACTCTGCTCTACTCTACTCTACTCTACTCTACTCTACTCTACTCGGCTCTACTCTACTCTGCTCTACTCGGCTCTACTCTACTCTGCTCTACTCTGCTCTACTCTACTCGGCTCTACTCTACTCTACTCTACTCTGCTCTACTCTACTCTACTCTGCTCTACTCTACTCTGCTCTACTCGGCTCTACTCTACTCTGCTCTACTCTGCTCTACTCTACTCGGCTCTACTCTACTCGGCTCTACTCTACTCGGCTCTACTCTACTCTGCTCTACTCTACTCTACTCTACTCTACTCTGCTCTACTCTACTCTGCTCTACTCTACTCTGCTCTACTCTACTCGGCTCTACTATACTCTACTCTGCTCTACTCTACTCGGCTCTACTCTACTCTACTCTGCTCTACTCTACTCTACTCTGCTCTACTCTACTCTACTCTGCTCTACTCTACTCTACTCGGCTCTACTCTACTCTGCTCTACTCTACTCTGCTCTACTCTACTCTGCTCTGCTCTACTCTACTCTGCTCTACTCTACTCGGCTCTACTCTACCCCGATTTGGAGCGTTTCCACCTGCCCTGTTTAACCAGTGCCAGGTTCTTCTTTAGTATCTTCTTAGCCCTGATTCTATCCAGGCCAAGCTGATACTAACATGTTCAAACTGTGTGGCCAGAGTGCTTGTGGAAACCAAGGAGTTTTCCCGGGCAGTAGTTTGTTGTGGCTATGTTGCTAGGATACGCACAAGATACTGAAGTGTAATGGAAACACAATCAGGTAGTGTAGAGCCGAGTAGAGTAGAGTAGGACCAACTTGGACTGGGCGGAAACTGGGATTAAAACTGTCAAAGGTGTTTAGTACAGAATCTCAATAAATTTTTTGATCCTTGATAAATAAATATATAATAGAATAAATAAATAAATATAATATAAAATAAAATAACATAATAATAATAAATAATAAAATAATATACATAAAATAAAATAAAATAAAATAAAATAAATAAATAAATAATGATAAATAGATAGATCTCAAAACACACTTTTTGTTTTAACCACAAACGTTTATAGTGTTTTGAGTTGACGGATGCACCATGAACAGCAGGTGCCTTTATTAATAGACGCGGCGGTGCAGTGGGCAGAATTTGAGAATCGCCTTCACATTGATAAAAATAACCAACTTTAAGTGTGACAGCACTGGTGACCTCTTGTACAATCTAAAACAAATATCCATCACCTGTTATGACAAACATTTACAAGGCTTTTTTTTTTTGTCATTCAAAACAGCAGCAGCAGTGAGTCATCGGTGTGTTCGCGGTGATGTGGCCACCAGCAGAGCCACCCAGCATCATTTGGTGGTCCCCATGGTAACAGCTGTTCATTTACTAATATTAGTGCGGGGAAAACAGCTAGGGACGGATACACACACACACACACGCACACACACACACACACACACACTGCCCTTGAGATGCTTTACAACTATGTCATGAATAAAAAAGCTTCCATGGGGGTAGTGTGGGTTGGTGCTGGGAGCAGTGACCAGTTAGTCATAACCATACCTACTTCTACAACACATTCTAAATAATAATAATAATAATAATAATAGTTTTTTTAACAGCGCTTTTTGGGACTTTCAAAGACGCTTCACCTGTCACTGTGCATTCACTCCAGACACAGTGGTGATAAACTACCATAGCTGCCCTGGGGCAAACTGACAAAAGTGAGGCCCCATCACCACCCACAACCGTTCACGCACACACCAGACTCATTCCAGGCCATGTGGGTGAAGTGTCATGATGTGGACTTTTTTGATTATTTTTAGCTGGTTTTATTTTGCTATTTTTTTGTAGTTATGGGTGTTTCTTCCTGTCTGTCCTGTTGATTGTTTGCCCCGCCTTAAAGTGGTTCACCTGTGTCTCCCGAAGCGTCTTTATACCCTGTGCTTTCTCCCACTTGTTGTTCATCCATTGTCTGTACCAGGTTCCTGTCTTGTTTTCAGTTCAGGAATTTGGTGTTTTATTACTCTGAATTTGGACTCTATTAAATTACATTTTATGTTCAGTCCTGAATTTCTGGTTCCTTTTTTCATTTCACCACGAGACATGATGTGCCTTGCCTAAGAACACAACAGTTTTGCACTTTACAGCCGCCCCACTGTGACACCTGGCCCTGCCCTGCTTAGTTTCTGAGGTCTGGCTCACATGTAGGTGGATCTACTTTTCATGTCTATGTTTCTATTTTTACAGATAATTATTGAAATACAAAATAAATCAAAATATAGTCATCAAATAGAAATGCTGAATCGCAATACAAACTGACAAATGCTTTAAATGGATTATGTTCCTTCTGCGTTCTGCGTCCAACCAAAGTGTCCCTCTATTATTCAGATTGTATTTGGCAACTGGAGGCAGCTGACCCGTCTACGTAACCTCTGGAACATAGCTTAAGTTCATTATTTGCGCTTTAGAACAAAAAGGTTTCATTGATTTGTGACATTCTTGGGAAGAAACAGAGTAAAAGTCACACACTGCAGTATGGATACCAAGATGCCTTTTATTAGATGAAGATCCAATGATATATAGTCAACATCTGCATCCTCCCTTACAAAAGACATTAAAATTGTAACATTTTTCAGTAAAAAAGTAGTTATTGTACAGCCAATGCGGGATACCAGAGAGAAAGCATGACATGATCAAAATCATATTCATTCAAGATCATATAGATCATAATAAAACACAGTACATTACCACTATTTACAATCTGCAACACAGAGGTTGACAAGAGAACAGTAATCCTCATGGTGAATACAGTAAATGTAATATATATTCATATATTAAGATCTGTTGTTTACAAAATCATAATGCATTATATAGATACTCACAAAGAAGGCTATCCACAACCTTGGCGTTAGCTATGCACACACCCCCTTGTTTCGCAACACTTTGCCCAAGCAAAAAGAGAGCTTTTGTTTGGTCAATTTATTGTTGTCGGGTGAGTTCTTTGGTTGTGCTGGAGCTCAATCTCAATCGTAGCAGTTAGATAGAGAATGCAAGTCTCCGTGGTAAGCTCAGAACCGGCTCAATAAATACAGGGCAACGTCTCCAGAGCAATGTTCACAACATCAGCAAACACAAAGGAAGCAGATTGTGAAGCTATGGTCCTGTCCTGCGGCTCCGACCACAGCCTGTGGCCCGCTCCTACTGAGCATGTGGTTACTAAAGAAGAGCACATCAAAACAAATGTAACTATGATCAAGGAAAATACAGCCCAGAGCACTTTGCATGCATGTTGTACACCACAATGATGTGACTGCATTTCACCACTGCATGTTACACATGTCCTCCGTCAGAGCTGTCGAGAGGCCAGCATCAATAGAAAAATCACCCAAAGCACATTGCTCTTAATTTTGCCCAGTAGGTTTTGTGGATGTGGTAGTTGCAGCCTGTTAGTACAGCCATCCCAGACTGAAAGAGCCCTAATCCTAATGTTTGTAGTTATAAATGCAATCTCCATTTCAATGACTTTAGCTAGTATAGTCAAGCTTTCTTTGTCCAGTACGTTTACATGCATGAGCTTGGTTGCACTATGCCCACATACCAGACTTCTCATTTCACACAAGAACCAATCAAACTGTGTGCCTCAGGTGATGATCGTGTTTGGGCTAATGCTGCTAAGATGTGAGGCCTATTAACAGTATGTAGCCTTTGTTAAAAAGTAGAAAAGAAACTAACACTATCTATTAGTTTGGAGCGCCAGCACTCAATTCATTTATAAATATATTATTTGCAACATTTATCAGACAAATGCAACATGTTACTTCTGCAAGCACGTTTGAGTACTGAACTACATGTGAGTCCATGTTAGCAGAGAAACAGGAACATGTCTGACTCTGCACATTGATGCCACGGTCTGGAAAAGGCTTTGAGTGCTTCTTTGTAAACAATCGGCCACATCATTCAGCCATTGTAAATATTACAGCTGTGTCCAAAGCCTGCGTGTAATAATTGGAGTATTCGGGCTCCCTGCATGTAAACGTACTGCTTTATTGCCCGCTGCTGTCACACCCCTCGCTGACAGCGCTGTTCACCTGAGACACGCTCCTGTTGTGTAATTCTACCTGCTTAAGTAACACAACGCAGACAGCCGACATGCAGCTTGTGATCCCCGTATCCCTTTACACCGCATGGATGAACAAAACCCAGAGGGGACCGGTCCACTGCTGCTCCCGCCAACGTGCACCGTGCGGTTTGGAGCCGTGGTGTATCTCTTTCACTACCTGTGCTCTGTTTGAAACCACTACATCTGAGCAGGAAGCCATCGACGCTTTAAAAGGACAGCAAGATCAAGCCAACGGGAGCGCCATGTTGAAATCCACCCTCTGCCACCACCGCTGCTCGGTATCAACTGTGTCCTGCCCTACAAATACCAGGTTTCAATGTTGGCCCAGCTGGTGCAGCACCCCCCCCTCCCCCTCCCTCTATCAGCTGGATTTTATTTTTGCACTAATCATCCTAAGGTCATCTTATTCACCGCAGGGACGAGCACAAGCCCCATTAGTCAGTCAAAAAGACCCAACATAGTTCAAAAAGAGGACCACACCTTCACGTAGCCGCGCCAAGTCTCTCAAGCTGGGATGTCTGCGTGGTTTTGCCGTCATTAATTGAGTGAATACATCCAGAGAGGTGTGGTCAAAAGGGAGGGAATGGGCAGAGAGTTACAGAGGTTAATGGTAGATCAGCCAAACCCAAGTCACACACTAACCCACCACACATAAACCCCGCCCCTTGTCCCTCCCCTAGAGTTTCTATTAATTTGTCCATCCATCCGTGCGTGCGTCGGTTGGTTTGTGTCCCGGACATCAGTCCCAGCCGTTGTCCTTGATCATGTGAGCCAGCTCGATGATGAACTTTCCCTCTTTGTATTTCTGACTGCTCTCAAAGGCGTGCTCCTGTAGGGCAGAGAGATAGACGGTGGGGGGTTAGCTTTCCAAAAAGTCAAATGCAATAGTCATCCGTGGAAGTACACATGAAAACACCCTTGACTCAGTGGCCCGCTCTGGTCTCTGGAAGCTGGTTATATAACTAAAGTCATTTAACGACGCAGCGGAGAAGTCAGATTGAGCTCCTTCTAACACGGTGTTGGCAGGAGTGACTTTGACTATGCGTGGATTGTGCCAATATTTCAAGCCCGCAGAGGTTTCGTGCAGCCTCACAAAAAGTGATGTTTAGAGTCTGCAGGCAGCAACATTCACTAAATCTCCCACTTGCATGCAAACCAGAAACCCCCCCCAGGACATCAACGGTGGCAAAGCGAGAGACAGAAACGATAGGACTTGATTTGAAGATGTTCATCGCAGGAATGATGGTAATAAAAAGGTCCTGCATATCAAAATAATGTGTAAACAGCTGATCGTTCAGCCCCTGGCGGCGTGCGAGCTGCTGGTGTAAGCTGTGTAATTACGAGCATCTGTGCAGACTTGTTAGACGCTCGTAGTTCATCATTGATTCAATCGTCGACTTTTGGTTAAAGAGTCAAAATCAAAGTTTGCTTTCAAAGAATATGCTTTATTTCCTTAAGTCGGTCATCAAATATGTCCATGTCAGTCTGTCTGTCCCTATGCCATGCCAGGTTCCCTGCTTTCCCCTTTGTTCTTCTCCTAAATACAGGTTTGAGCGTCTAACTAAAAGAACAGTGGTGATGATCCAGGACACTCAACATTCAACAATATTTATGGACATTTATCAACACTTAAGGACATTGGTCATCTGCCTCATGGACCAATAGCAATGTGGAAAAAGTTGTGTAAAGTCCTCCAAGATAACTACTGTTGTGATTTAGAGCTATATATTTAAATTGAAACTTTTCTCTTCACAGGGTGTTACGCAGTAGTTGCCACGGGATGGAAGCCCCCTCACTCACTGTCTCGTCGGCGGTAAGTCATGACTTTCATTGACATGGCATATGGCTTCTATGCTCAGCGCCAAGAAGAATACGATGTTTGGACGATGTGAAGTGCAATACTGTGGACAAACTTAAAGCTGGACCTTAATAACACGCATACATTGGTAGAGCTGAAGTTGGCCTGATGATCCCATGAACTTGTGTTTATTTGTGTTAGCGAGGCAGAGGGCCACAAAACATGAGATAGAGGGCCACAATTAGCCCGCAGTCCTTAGTTTGGACATGTCTGCCGCAAAGGATTTCAATTTCTGCTATTTTCAAATCGTTTGTGCATAGATTTGAAGTGATCAACTCTAGTTTCACGAAAGACTCAAAGGTATAAAAAAGATGAAAACAAATCTAAATTCGTGTCCATAGGGCGGCAGTGACTCAGAGCATTGGCCTTTGAGCCTGAAGGTCATTGGTTTGAGCCCACCACAAAACCTTCTCCACCAACTCCTGCTGATATCTGCTGTCGTTGTGTCCTTGGGCCAGACACTTAACCCTGCTTTGCCTGAAGCCCCCATCTGAAATATTAGATGACAGAGCAGCCATCCTCCTGTGAACCCAGGATCAGTGAGGGGCTGGGTGCACCTCTGACTGCCACCCCCGACCCAGAAATGGATTAAGGGGAAGAAAATGGATGGATGTATATAGATTTGAAGTGATCCCGTCTAGTTTCACAAAAGAAACAAAAGCACCAACAAGACAAAAAACGTCTAAATCCATGTACTTAAGGAAATGAAATAAGTCTATTGTTTTATTTTAAAATAGCAAACAAAGAAATAGCCATCATCAAAAAAAAAAAAAAAAAAAAAAAAAAAAGACATAGCCATCATTATAACAACATTTTTGGGTGGAGGCGGTGAGAGAGTGAGTGTTTGTGCCTGGAGTCCACCGTTGCCTCACAGTGGCACTCAGTTCAGCCGCACAAATGCTCTTTGACTGAAAGCGCCTGCACCCTATTTTAGATTGAAGGCTGCCCGGCGCATTATCAGATTTCTCAGTGGAGAGAAGTGCAGTGGGTCAGCTCTCTCCATGATTCTCTGACCACAGCAAAAAAACAAAACAAAAAACCAGCTGATATTAATGGCAACCGTCCATGTCGTGGCCAGATATAGAGCAAACATAGAATTTCGACACAGCTCTTCATAAGGAAAGAGTTATTTTTAAGCCCAGAGGATGAAGGTTAAGATGTTGGCGTGAGGGGAACAACATGTGGGTCGTGTTTTCATCGTGTTCGCTGACTTATAGATTTCTTTAAGCTCCTCGTTGACAGCACATGCTCATGGGACATGTGTGTGTATGTTGTGAACTCGAAACCACCTGGGACGCACGCTGCACGCACGTGTTACTTCACTTGTTGCGCAAAAATAACAAAGATATAGATGAGGATTCTAGGGGTTAGGCCCAAAAACTAGAGTCGGACCAGTGAAAACATACACTTAAAGATGCAGTCAGGGATTTTTTTCAAGACGCATTTTTTAAATATTGTGGGAAAACGTCTCTAAACCCTAAAAGTAGTCAAGTGATCATGAGCTTTCAAATAGTAACGGAATTGACCAGATGCCTGATAAAAAATATTTTGGAGCAGACGATAAAAATAAACCAATGGGATTCGTTCATCCTCTTCACCCTCTTCCTGTTTCTTGCGAGTGCACCTGAGTTATTGGATTTTCTAAAACCTTAAATGGCTGAACAGAAAATGCCAATTTCACGTTTGCTCCACTCTCCCTGTTGTGACAAAGAAAAGAAAATGCTGGATGGAGGGGGAGTGGTTTCCAGTTGGTGCTACGGCTAAGCTAACAAGCTAACAAAATTGCTTACTGCACCTTTAAAGCTGGGGTGCGTGACTCTCAGACCACAAAAGATTGTAACACAGAAGTAACCCTGTCCTAACTTGTTTTTGGCTAACACTAGTTTTCACATGTGTTTTGGGCCTACTGTATATCACAGCTTTTTCAGACAGAAAAGTGAAAAAGAAGGGTCAAAAAGTGACTCACATGGCTCTTTTTTGCAATTGTGGACAGTAACATGTTTTCTAATAAGATAAATATTGCTTATTGTGGTCTGATATGTTCTCTAATTTTTATGTTTCATTTATTAAACAAAAAGTTAGTCACACCAGCGTTAGTCAATGTGCTTTTATACAGCTGCAACAAAGGTATTATCGTGAATTATCGACAAAGAATCATGTTGAAATTAGGGGTGTGACGATATATCGCGATATCAATATCGCGATACTTTCTCCCGAGATTCGATTATTGATATGCATTTGCCAAGTATCAATATCAATTTTGAAAAAAAAAAAAAATTGGGTTATGTATTTTATTTTATTTTTTTCAATATATATATATTTTTTCATAATTCGTATCAATACTTATTATGGCTACATTACGCATCTCCATTCCATTTATCATTAAATAAAGTTTATTTTTTCACTTACGGTATATTTCTGACCATCCATCCATCCATCCATTTTCTTCCCCTTAATCCATTTCTGGGTCGGGGGGGTGGCCAGAGCTGCACCCAGTCCACAGAGCACCAGCCCCTCACTGATCTCCTGCAGGTGGTGAGTCCACAGGAGCTATTTCTGACCAATATATCGATAATCATCATATCGTGATATTATCGTTATCGTGAGCTTTGTATCGTATCGTATCGTGAGGTACCCTTAGGTTCCCACCCCTAGTTGAAATGTCAAGAAATCTCCTTGGATCTGGATTGTGGAAGGCATCTCAGTTACGGAAAAAAATTACATATAATCTTAGTAGGGATGCACCGATCCGATACTGGTATCGATATCGGCGCCGATACCAGAAAAAATACTGGATCGGATATCTGCGTAGAGAGAGGCGCCGTGCTGCCGATCCATTTTCTTTTCTTTTTTGTTTTTTATTTTTTTTAATACATACCAGGTACCACACAATGTCTTAAAATACATTGTGCATATTGTACATATACGTATAAAATGAATTAATTAAAAGTAATTTATCAGATCTGACGTACACGTCACTTCCTCGTGGCGCTCTACAACAACAACAACACAACATTGTTCACGTGGCGGTAAACCAGCGAAATACAACACGACTAAGCACCACGAGAAACAGCATGGGGAGTTTTTGCATCGAAAGGAGATTACGTGAAAACAACGAGACACAGATGACACTGACGCAGCGTCACAAAAAGCTTTTCAGCAACAACCCCAAAGTGTTGGAGGTCATCATGGGCTCGCAGCCCCATAGACCATTTGGAACCCAGGTACATGCCGTCGCCAAATACATATCTGAAATCCAGTTAAAGCTACGGTACTATTATTTATTTACATTTTCATGCAGCGTGTTTTGTTTGTTGTAAGTGTTTTTTTATTCAAACACAGTTAATATAAGTACATTTATATTCAATAAATGTATAAGGTATAATACAGTGTTGGAATGTTTAATGTGAACATTGAGCAGTTATAGTTGCATTATTGCACATTTATGTTGAATCAATTTTTATCTGGAAAGTTTAGCTTTAGTTCATCCACTGCTTTTGCAGTTACTTGAACAAAGAGTTCAATTATTAAATACATTTTAGCATGATCATTTCCGGTATCGGTCAATATCGGTATCGGCAGAAACCCATAGCTCTGGTATCGGTATCGGTAGTAAAAAAGCTGGATCGGTGCATCTCTAAATCTTAGACTAAAGGGACAAAAATACAAAGAGTAATGAGAAAAATAAAAGGCGTTCAAAGATGTCAGGGAAGTTCAAATGAAAAAATGTAAAAATGTATTATTATTGGACTGGGCTTGTTATTGGCACGTATGGAGACTGTTTTTTAGGGGGTTTTCATTCATGCAACTAATGTCAATACTTGTTGTACTAAATGTTGGGTTTTCTAATCTGCTGTGAGATGGCTGCTGTTGTGATTTCGGGAAATACAAAAATATATTAAGCCATGACCTCTATCTGTTGGCGCTGACGTCAATATTTTGTAACAGTGAGTCATGTGGAGGCTTCTTTTACTTTTGTTCAGTTTCAAAGCCAACTTCTAACAGTGATGCAAACACTGTAGGCTATAATACTGTAAACACATCCAAAGGACAGGTCCGTTTATGAGCAAGAAATACAAATGTGTAGAAAAAATAAGCAAGTCTCCTTCTCTTCTAGTAATCATGGCGACCTAATATAGATACTACTTCAATAAATCCAGTAAATATTTGTTTTTTAACGCATGAAAAATAAACGTCAGCTACTTTTCCAATTGTGTAGCGTTAGTTAGACACGCCCATGCTCACCTTTACTGCTTCCTGATTGGGCCATATCAATGCAAAACCTTGTCATTGGTCGAACTATTCTCCTCCTACACTTATTACTGGTCAAGGTTTTGCCAAGAGGAGGGACTATTTGAAGCATATTACTATTGAATAACGCTTCAAAGCTTCACTAACTGACTTTATTTTTGTATTCATTACTAAAATGCTATCCATGTCCATGCAGTGCATTGGGATATACGTCCGTTTGAAGAAAAAGTAGCGCAGATTTGTGCTGCCGTGACATTATATTTTAGATCGAGTTTTGATGAAACAAGGAAGAGAATGTGTTTCGGGTCGCAGATTGTGACCAATCACAGCGCACCACTGGCCCCCACTTTCGTGAGAAATCTACAGGTCCGTTAGCATAGACGGCTGAGTTAGCACAACAAGCCGAGGAGCTAACCTGAAGCTTCGTGTGTCTTCGTCACCGGTTACTGCTTACACAGCGAGTAACCACATCCAAAAGAAAGTCTCGTTCCTCTGCGCTTCCCGGTTTTATCGTTCTATGGTCACGCCATCCACGTGCAAATCCATATCCATGTATTATCCATATTGGGAGACGCTAGCTCCGTCAACAACAGTGGGTGTGTGTGGGGGGCGATAGCTTTGTGGGTGCGGGGAGGGGAGCAGAAAGAGCGAGGCCAGCGAGTCCGCGGCTTCAAAACCCCCAAAGTCAGTTAGTGCAGCTTTAACGTCACAAATATTTTTTCTTTTAAAAACGATATACTATGAAAAGTTTCTGACATTACGTTTAATCGCTTCTTCCACCCCAAGCCGGGACTCCTATACCGGAACCTTTCTATTTGTTGAGTGTTTCTGATGCATCTGTTCACTTCAATTCATTTCTGTATTGCGCTAAATCACAACAGTAGCCGCTTTTACAAAGTTGTGGATTTGCCAACACAGATCAGATAATCAAACAGTTTAAACCCAGAGCATTAAAGGAGCAGTATGTAAAAATCTGGCCAAAAGTGGTACTGCACTCTCCCGGACTCAGGTTGCGAGATTTGCAGACCAATCCAGCTGGGACCATAACAGCTGAATAGACAAGAGTTCTGTCAACAACAAATCTATAACCAACACCTTTTTCACAAAGGCCTCGATGAAATCCTGGTTTTATTCCTTGTTTTGTCGTTAATTATTTGAGAATCATAACAAGACCTCTTTTCGTTCTGAGGCCACATGGTACTTTACCAGTGAGATTAGCTTGACGTGGTGAATTCTGGCAACCATGATCATGGACTTTCTGATTGGTGAAACGGTGGAGGGCGGGACATCGAAATGAAAAGAATAACAAGATTCAGGGGCTGTAAAATTTAACTATTGTTATCCGTTAAAGACGAATTGGAAAAGAGCAGGTTTTATTAATGCCTTTTGACAGATTAGGGCCCTTTAATGATGACTTGACATGAAAATCTAGTCCATAAGGTGTGGATAACCAATATTCATAAATGTTTTATGGATTATCACAACTGTCCTTAGACCCTCCTGCAAAAAAAACGCGTAACTTTAGGACTAATGTAGATGCTACAAATGGTTGCTTTTGGTTTTCAATTAAAAAAGTTTAACTCGAATACACACAAAAAACACTGCTAAAAAGGCTGTGTTGTTGGCTATAAGCTTGTGTGGCATTCTCCTTCTCTTTCAGCAAACAATAAAATGATATCCCCATTTACAGTAAGTAATCCACTTAAAGTGAAAGGAGCTCATAAAACCTTGACTTTGTGGCAAACACAATAATGAAACAGCAGTTATTACCGCCGCCTCTGATGTACGGAGCTATACACCCACTCTCTCTGAATGTCCACGAGTCCAGCAGAGTCCTGTCCCTCTGCCTGCGCCATACAGTTAAAACAGCACAATACAATTACTGCGGGCCATAAGCGTGAGATGTAGTCCCTGCCTAACCTTGAATCAGGCCTGAGTGCAGAGAATCAGCCGGGACAGAGGAGAGGACACTCACGTATTTCCAGCCGAGGGTGGTCTTGCAGTTCTCACAGTAAATATCGGCTACAGCGTGCAGTCCCGTGAGCAAGACCCTCTCCTCCGCAGGACCGCACCCCACATTCACTCTGAGAAGCACAAATCATGCACCGTTAATACAAGATGAGGAGGAGGGAGTGGGAACTGGGGCTGCAAAAAAACTGGCGCAACTTAATTATTAACATTACACTGGTCCTCATTGGTCATCTGCCTGTTATGGACCGTTACTAATGTGTTTTCTGTTTTATATCTCGGGTTTGAACTGCTTGCTTCTCTGATCTGTGTTGGCAAATTCAATGGTTGCGTAAAGTCCTCTGAGATAACTACTGTTGTGATTTAGCGCTATACAAGAATACATTGAATTAAACTGAGGTCATCGCTATTGGAATTATTTTAGTCGCAATTTTTGAGGTCGCAACTGGCAAATTGGAACGACGGCGATAATTTGAGTATGTTGCTAAAACAAAAAATGGGATTAAACATAATGCAAAAAAATATATAGGAAAGAGTAAAATAACTTTATTGTCTATCACGTCTGTCTCTTTGGATTTAAATTACACCCACAATCCAAGACACCATCAATCCATCTTCTTCCCCTTGATCCATTTCTGGGTCAGGGAGGTGGCAGTCAGAGCTGCACAGAGCACCAGCCCCTCACTGATCCTCCTGCAGGTGGTGAGTCCACAGGAGCTGAGATCTTTCAGTGGGGGCTTCAGGCAAAGTGGACAAGGACACAACGACAGCAGAGTCGTGGGAGTCGTGAAGTAGGTCTTACGGTGGGCTCGAACCCACAACCTTCAGGCCCAAAGGCCAATGCTCTACCAACTGAGCCAACGTCGCCCCAAAACTCCAAAAACATTACATTATCTTCAAATCAATGAAATGTCTCTTAATATTAGTTTGTTTTGAGGATTTCTCAATAGATCTTTTGCCTTGTTCTCAGAAAGAAGCTTTATCTCCCAAATAACACAATTACTCATAAGCTAATGTAAGATAAACTTTATTGATCTCACAAAGGAGAAATTTACCGTTTACATAAAAGATTAACTCAAAATATGTTGCACAACTCAGGTCTAACACTGAAAACATTTGATTAAAAAAAGTAAAATATGTGGATTCAAGCATATATTCAGTTATCACTATTATGAATTCTGTTTTGACTTGTACAATACGGTAGAATACTGTGAGTAACTTTCTTGACCTTTTTTTTTTTTTTTTTATATATACAGAAATACATTGCAATTGTAATTCAACATAATGCATAACAATCTATTTATGGACTTCATTAACCCTCTATAGAACCTCCAAAGCTGTGAAAAGACAGACACGTACTGAGACTTGATACATCTCCTCATTACAGCCGTTATATCTCACTCATTTCCAGTGTGTTTTGAAAACCCAGTAGCACAGACAGCAGAGTTTCTGGATTCTAAACTTTGAACATTTGCAGACTGCGCGGTGCGTCTTATCTCCATCTTATCTGTTTGTAATGTAGTGTGACCATGGGAACACCAAAGACCTTCTTAAAATACTCCTGATTTTCCCAGACACTCGCCAGACGCTGTTATTTGGGTCAGTTCCTAATTTAACAGCTTTCAAATAAATAATACAAATCGAGAGTGCAAGGCTAGGAAAGAGGTTTATGGGTAATCATGGGGGAAGTCTGGACCAATAAGAAGCAGTTTGCAATACTAGTTATTTACCAGAGGGGCTTTAGCTTTGCCCTTTGTGATTATTTATGATTTGAATGCCCTGTGTGACTATCTCTATCTTGTTTTGTTCCGCACTTTCAGTTGCCTTGTGTATACTTTGTGATATACAGATAAACTTGCCTCGCCTTCTAGTTATTATTCATCCCAAGAAAAAGAGTCTAAACAGCTGTAAAATAAAAAAAATCAGACCACAGCAAGCCGTCTCCATCTAAATAGAAAACATCTTATCTTTTCTACACAGATAAGAGTCACTACTTGACCCTCTGGGCTGAGAGCTGATTGGCTGAGTGAGGGTGGTCCTCCTAATTTCACTTTTATCCCTGAAAAAGGTGATCTAAAGATGTGACAGAAACCAAAAATACATGTGAAAACTAGTGATAGAACTGTTTTAGAGCATGCAGAAACTATTACCGGTAGATGGATTTTTATTTTAAGTTTGAAAGTTAGGTACCACAGCTTTAAATGGAGTTTAAATAGATAATTCAAAGCCATTTAGACACATATATCTACAACATTTGAGAAGTTCTGGAGGTTCTTTATGAATCCAGACTCTTGAACCAAACTCTTAAGATAATCAATGATTCTTCTGGTCAAACTGGAAAAGCCATGTTCCAGCTTCTTCCCACTGGCAGAAGATATCGTCTGTTAAAATGCCGGACATCTCGTTATGCTAACAGCGTCTTTCCACAAGCTGTTATCAGTTTGAACAGAGCACTTTAAATGATCTTGCACTTTGTATTGAAACAGTTTTCGATCGATTTCGCAGCAACAATTGTTTCCTACAATTTTTTATTTTAATACTTTTAAACATGTTCCATTCCTGTACGCATAACCTATTTTATGTACATACTCATCTTGTGCACCTTGGGGACTTTTGCGGATGTATACCAAAGGGGTTTTACTGCAAATGGCAAATGAATCTGAATCTGGAGTTGATAAATACAGTAGAGGGCTGAGTCTGCTGCCCTATAGCTGCTCTAGAGTAAAGCGGTGTATGAAGTGCTGGGTGTGAGTCAGTGTCTCACGCCCACTCACACTGAATACTGAAGGGGCACCGGGCCACAGAGCATCGTCTCATTTTCACTCTCAATTCAGCTGATAATGGCTGCGCTGCGAGCCATACGGCCGGCTTTGTCTGCGCTGGGACGCCAACGTGACCACAGCGAGTCACACCGATACTGTACGTGTCCTATGTTTCCTATCTCCTCTGAGCGGAGTGGGCCTACATGTGTCCCAGCCCATTCACCATTCACCATCCACCCCTGCTCTGGAGAAGACACAAAGTCGGGAACAAGACAGATACTCACACTGAGTTGAACAGATAGGCCCGGCCCTGGCTGCCCTGGAAGGACTGCAAACACACACACACACACACACACACAGAGAGAGAGGTACAGGTTATTTAAGGATGTCAGCAGTTATCGCTTTCGTTTCTGTGGACATAGCGTACAGCTTAAAACAAGAATTAGTATCGCAAATAAAGAGAGTAATACAGTACGTCATGATTAGATTAGATTACGAAGTTTACATTAGGGTTTGTTCATCTGTCTGTGAGTCTGTTAGTTAGGTATATTCAACTTAATGTAACCCAAAATTGTCTCAAAAATGTCCTGTGTCTCTCAGCTGGCCTGGGAACGTCTTTGGGTCCGCCCGGGCGAGTTGGAGGAAGTGTGTGTGGATAGGAAAGTCTGGGCGTCTCTGCTTAGACTGCTGCCCCCGAGACCCGGCAATGGATGAAGCGGAAGAAAATGGAATGGTAACTCAAAAGCGATGGGTGGATTTCAAGTGGGTTTTCAGGAACGCTTGGAAATGGGAAAAAAAATATGATTTTTTTGATTACTGGACAGGTGTTTTGAGACTTGGATGGCTGCTCTGATTGCCCCACCCCCAGCCCAGAAATGTAATTATACACAATAAAGGGGAATGAGATGACCAAAAATGAAATGGCATGATCCGGATTTCTGTCTGGATTCAGGTTTGTTTTTGCTCCACACAATGTAGCTCGGTGTAATGTAACGGTTTTATTTAGAGATCTAGAACTAACAGTTGACAGTGGGAGTCGATGGAGAAGGTCCCGTGGTGGGCTCGAACCCACAACCATCAGGCTTAAAGGCCAATGCTCTCCCAACTGAGCCACTGTCGCCCGAGTACTCACTTACTTAACGCATTAATGGTATTCATTTCTCATTTGTATCGTACAGTTTTTACCCATCTAAGGGGCGTTCACACCGGACTTAACTTCGGCGTCAAAAGCGTCAAGTTTCCATTGAAAGTGAATGATGAAGCGCGTCAGGTGAAGCCGAGAGCCCCGGCGTCACTTGACGCGCGTCAAAAGCTTCAAGAGTCGCGCGTAGTACGCGCTCACTTGAAGCTTTTGACGCGCGAAACGCTCGCGTATCACAACAATCCCTTTGACGCCGAAGTTGAGCAAAACTGAGCTTTTGAAGCTTTGACGCGGGCTTCAACCAATCAGGAGACGAGGAGCAGCAGCAGCAGAGGGTCTGTCTCTGTCATGGAGAGAGACATTGTTTGTGTAGATGGATGTGTATTTGCTGCTACTAAACACCTGAATTTCTCCTATGGGGGATCAATAAAGTATCTATCTATCTATATGTACCTACAGTGCCTTGCGAAAGTATTGAACCTTTCAACATTTCGCCACATTTCAGGTTCAAACATAAAGATATAAAATTTTAATTTTTTGTCATGAATCAACAACAAGTGGGACACAATCGTGAAGTGGAACGAAATTTATTGGATAATTTAAACTTTTTTAACAAATAAAAAACTGAAAAGTGGGGCGTGCAATATTATTCGGCCCCTTTACTTTCAGTGCAGCAAACTCACTCCAGAAGTTCAGTGAGGATCTTTGAATGATCCAATGTTGTCCTAAATGACTGATGATGATAAATAGAATGCACCTGTGTGTAATCAAGTCTCCGTATAAATGCACCTGCTCTTTGATAGTCTCAGGGTTCTGTTTAAAGCGCAGAGAGAACCATGAAGACAAAGGAACACACCAGGCAGGTCCGAGATACTGTTGTGGAGAAGTTTAAAGCCGGATTTGGATACAAAAAGATTTCCCAAGCTTTAAACATCTCAAGGAGCACTGTGCGAGCAATTATATTGAAATGGAAGGAGTATCAGACCACTGCAAATCTACCAAGACCCGGCCGTCCCTCCAAACTTTCATCTCAAACAACGAGAAGACTGATCAGAGATGCAGACAAGAGGCCCATGATCACTCTGGATGAACTGCAGATAACTACAGCTGAGGTGGGAGAGTCTGTCCATAGGACAACAATCAGTCGTGCACTGCACAAATCTGGCCTTTATGGAAGAGTGGCAAGAAGAAAGCCATTTCTCAAAGATATCCATAAAAAGTCTCGTTTAAAGTTTGCCACAAGCCACCTGGGAGACACACCAAACATGTGGAAGAAGGTGCTCTGGTCAGATGAAACCAAAATCGAACTTTTTGGCCACAATGCAAAACGATATGTTTGGCGTAAAAGCAACACAGCTCATCACCCTGAACACACCATCCCCACTGTCAAACATGGTGGTGGCAGCATCATGGTTTGGGCCTGCTTTTCTTCAGCAGGGACAGGGAAGATGGCTAACATTGATGGGAAGATGGATGGAGCCAAATACAGGACCATTCTGGAAGAAAACCTGTTGGAGTCTGCTAAAGACCTGAGACTGGGATGGAGATTTATCTTCCAACAAGACAATGATCCAAAACATAAAGCCAAATCTACAATGGAATGGTTCACAAATAGACGTATCCAGGTGTTAGAATGGCCAAGTCAAAGTCCAGACCTGAATCCAATCGAGAATCTGTGGAAAGAGCTGAAGACTGCTGTTCACAAACGCTCTCCATCCAACCTCACTGAGCTCGAGCTGTTTTGCAAGGAAGAATGGGCAAGAATTCCAGTCTCTCGATGTGCAAAACTGATAGAGACATATCCCAAGCGACTCGCAGCTGTAATTGCAGCAAAAGGTGGCGCTACAAAGTATTAGCGCAAGGGGGCCGAATAATATTGCACGTCCCACTTTTCAGTTTTTTATTTTTTTTAAAAGTTTAAATAATTCAATAAATTTCGTTCCACTTCACGATTGTGTCCCACTTGTTGTTGATTCTTGACAAAAAAAATATTTTTTATATCTTTATTTTTGAAGCCCGAAATGTGTCGAAATGTTGAAAGGTTCAAGGGGGCCGAATAGTTTCGCAAGGCACTGTAAGTGTATACATAAGGCTGTCCATGATACTGCTTTCCTACAGGTAGCAGCTGCGTGTTTCCGTTGACCTGGCAGTTGGCCGGGCTACAGTAACTAACAGAAAGCAGAAGCGCGAGAAGGAAACAATAAAAGCGTTTGCCTGCTTTGTGTACTGCCGTTACAAGCGGCAGAAGGCCTTTGTGAGAAGAGCTGAGCTGTGTTTTCATGATCACGCATGGAAAAAGTGACAGAGCATTCATAATCCAGCCGGCTTAGAGTCTAATCCATCTACAGACAATAGTGCGGCAGATGACACGGAGGTACAGGTGCTCATTGTCTGCCTGTCTTATCTACACTTGCATTAAACTCAATCAGACCAATAAGTCCCATATGAAAGGCAGCGGGCATGGGATATTGAATGTTATTGTAAATCTGTTTGAATGATCCTGTAATTACTGGTTAAAAGTGAGAGGCTGGAGTTAGGTATAAAGGAGAATTTTCTACTTCCGGGTGGATCATCAAGATTATGGGTCCTCCCAATTGTCAGTCATTCTGGTGATACGTGTGGAGAGGGCGGTTCTTTCCTAAAATGTGGGAAAATCCTTTTTTATTCTTGGGTTTCATGAACCTGGCCAGTAGGGGGTGAATGAGCAGAGGTGGGACAACTCAGTTTTGCTCCCATTGAGAACCATGTAAATCGTGTCTGCTTTGGAGTCAAAAGGCTCGCCTCCTGTGCGGTGTACGGTTGTTGGAACAGTCTTAATCACGGACACTCAATTCTAAGGGAGAACTAACAAATATTTCTCAAAAGAGTCTTGATTTTGTGCTTTTTTGGAAAGAAAAACAGAAGATATTGCTGCCTTTCATTGGGGTGGCCTGCAGGGGGCACTTATCTGGGAAAGCCATGATCCACCTCATTCCAGTGATTTTTTCAAAATGTCCTCCTTTATATGATATCACAGTTGGAACATGAACAAACTCTTGTCTTTCTCTCTATTTGTGCGGTTGCTACAAGCGTACACCGCACAAAAAGATGGCATTTTGACAGCGCTTCTTCTTCTACTATATCTCCGTGTATAAACCACTGCCCTGACGTCATATGAAACCCAAGAATACCTTCAAGACACATCCGAACTATGAGATAAGATAAAACTTTATTGATCTCAGAATGGAGAAACGTACATATAGTGGTTTATAATAAAGTAACAAGAGGATCTTTATCACTTAATTGTATTGGTTTAGGTGTATAGTTGCGAAAGTACCACTTATATGGGTCATTGTGTGTGTGTGTGTGTGTGTGTGTGTGTGTGTGTGTGTGTGTGTGTGTGTGTATATTGTGTAGGTTGAGGTTCACTGGTGTCCTCTATTCTCTGTAAAAGAGCTGATCTATGATTTAAAACATCAATAAAGGCTTTCTCTTTTCCTTTTGAATTCCAAATGATCCACCCAGATCCACTCCGGTGTTTCCAAAGGGGTGAGTTTAGGTTCAGGAAGTCCAGTTGAAATATTAGGTCAATTATCGTACATTAGTAAGGACATATCAAGGTTTCGTTTGTCCATCCATCCATCTTCTTCCCATTAATCCATGTGTTTGTTTGTTTTTAATTCAATATTGTCTGTGGATTCTTTCCATATGACTGAGTTCCATATATCTGTGTTATTAGGTCAGCACTATTTATGTTGTGTTGGACTGACAACATCCCAACAATGATTGTACTACTGTAAAATATGAAAAGCTATATTTTACAAGACGTACACACCCAGAGAGATGACAGTATTTGGAGATTATAAATGATAACGCAAAAAAGTGGATTTGTGAAGTCATGCATAACTTATATATTATACTGTATATGAAAACAGATACTACTTCTCAGAGTCCGACCCTGATCAAAAGCTGGTGTGTCAAACGATTTGTTTAATAAATAATACATGTTGTTTGTCCCGAATGAACGGGTTTTCTTATTAAAGTAGCAATATGTAAGATTTTCATGTCAAGTCATCATTAAATGGCCCTAATCTGTCAAAAGGCATTAATAAAACCTACTCTTTTCCAATACTTCTTCAACTGATAACAGTAGTTCAGAGACATTTGAATTTCTACATTTTACAGCCCCTAAATCTTGCTATTGGTTTCATTTCTATGTCCCGCCCTCCACCGTTTTACCAATCAGGAAGTCAGTGATCCGGGTTGGGAGAACTGGGAGTACCATGTGGCGCAGAACTAAAAAGGTCTCATTGTGATTCTCAAATCATCAAAGACAAAATAAGAAATAAAATGAGGATTTCTATCGGGGGGCCTTTGTGAAAAAGGTGTTGGTTTTAGATTTGTTGTTGACAAAACTCTCGTCTATTCAGATATTACGGTACGAGTTGGATTCGTCTGCATATCTGGCAACCTGAGTCAGGGGGAGTGGGAGAGGCTGCAGTACCACTTTTGGCCAGATTTTTACATACGGCTCCTTTAATGTACTTTTTGCCAAATTGTAAGAAAAAGCACTGATCTAAAGATGTGACAGAGGTCCACAATACATGCATGTGAAAAGTTAGCAATAATCTCTGGAATACTAACTTCTGGAAGGGTGTGTAATCTTTCAATCACAACTGTATATGAAGGACTTGTGTAGCGTGTTGACGTCAGCTCTCGCATGACATGGAGAAGGAAACACAAACCTCCTCAAGCTCTCCACTTATCACAGACTTACACTACTATCACTCCTGGGTTGTCAAAAGTGTAAAAAGAATAATAAATTGCCCTTATAACTAGTATCCAAACTAGAATCTCAATTGAGCAAATATCTATACTTCAAAAATTACAATACCAGACTGACTTGTGACAAATAGTATCGTTTTCAAAATGTGTATGTAGTCATTGGAAGGACGATAGCTATCAGCCGAGTTGGGAACGCCTCAGGATTCCCCCGGATGAGCTGGAGGAAGTTTGTACTGATGTTAACCCGGCAAACAGCTTTTGGATGTGCGTTTCTCTATCAACGCCAACTAATAAACAGATAAAGTGACACGTGATGTGCATTCCACAGCGGTTACCTTGGAGATGAGCTCGTCGTGGTTGGCCAGGTGAGCTCGGCAGTGGATGCAGCTGTACGTCCGATGGCAGCTGGGCAGGTAGGCCTGAAAGGTCTTGGAGCGCGTCATTCTGACCATGGGCGGAGTTGGCGGGCGGTGCAAGAAGGGACTGCCAGCCCAGGTCGGCTCACAAGGAAAGCACCGCAACACACAGGTGAGGGCCGTGGTGGGCGCTGGGGTGGGAGGCACACACCTGCAGGGGGCGACAGAGAGGACCGGTGAAGCCTCTGCCAACTGACGGGGTTGGCTCGTATCATAGCAACACAGTTTTACTATTAAAGAAGCAATATGTAAGATTTTCATGTCAAGTCATCATTAAAGGGCCCTAATCTGTCAGAAAGCATTAATAAAACATGGTCTTTTCAATTACTTCTTTAAATGATAACAGTAGTTCTAATAGTAGTTCTGGTAGAATTTCAAAATTAGTTTTAGAGTCCCTAAATCTTGTTAGTGTTTTCATTTTGATGTCCTGTCCTCCACCGTTTCACCAATCAGAAAGTCTGTAATCCGGGTTGCCAGAACTCACCGCATTGAGTTAATGTCACTGGTAAAGTAACATGTGGATGCAGAACTAAGAAAAAGTCTTGTTATGATTCTCAAATCATTCATAACAAAACAAGAAATAAAGGTGTTGAGAAATCTCTTGTCTATTTAGCTATTATGGTCCCAGCTGGATTAATCTGCATATCTGGCAACCTGAGCCAGGGAGAGTGGAAGAGATTGCAGTACCACTTTTTTACCAGATTTTTTTTACATAAACAAAAACGTGTCTCTATTGGTTAGTCATTCATAAATATTCAGATTTCATGACTAACAAACATGAGAAACATTCCCACCCGCTCTGACTAAACTAAAGCCACACTGTCTTCAGCCTAATGGACTGGCAGCGTGCACCAAAGCAGCTGCACTCCCGCTGCAGGTGCCACCATCAGCTGCCTCCCCCTGCCCGTGTCCCACCAGGCCTTATTGGGACACAGAGGAGGCATTGCTCGCTCACATTTAGTATTTAAGTCTGCGAGGCCGCGGGGATAATCTGCTTAGACTAGCACAACTGCGAAGCCTGTGCCCTCCATGATATTCAAATAGACAGAGCCCGAAAATACTTGTGCCGGTGTGCCCCCGCGGTGACAGAGCAGATTAGTGTGCCGACCAGGAAGCGCTCCAAAGTGTCAGTCACGTCAGGAGTCCAACACAAATTATTCATCCTTGTGACAGCATCACTCTCAGCTGGAGGTATTGGATTGAGGTAGACCGACATTAAGAGGAAGCAAGAGAGGAGCGTGGAGGAAGGTGGTCAAAATCAAGCATGGGGCTGAAATAGATATATCCATGGGGAAAAATGTATGTATAGCTATATGTGTATTTAGTAAGTAAGGTTAATTTATATAGAGCATTTTACAGGCCAAAGTCATCCAAAGCGCTTTACAATTGTTCAGAGTTCAGATATTGTTCCATTCTCTCCACACACGGTGATGACGGAAGCAAATCACCGAACACACTGGGCCATCAAAGCCCCAAACACCATCCATTCACTCACTCCTACATTCATACCTATTGGCAACCTACGCAGACACGGGGAGAACATGCAAACTCCACTCAGAGACGCCCTGTTCTGACCGGGATTTGAGCCCAAGACCTGCTGAGAAGCGAGAGAGCTATCCACTCAGCCACCGCGCCGAGTAAATACTTAAATAGATACTTACTTATATGTTTATGTATATGTGTGTATATATATATATATATATATCTATGTGTATATTTTGACTCATTTAGTTGGGTGGATGCTGTTTTGTTAATAGGGTAGGCATTATAAACCACGGCTTCAGCCTGCACTGTTTTTGGTTACCTTCCTTATTTGCAAGGAAATAGACCTATATATATTTTTATTTGTTTGTAACAAAAAAAAAACCTTCATTAATTCATTCAAATATTCAATAGGTTTTCCAGTTGAGGTTCCGATTGCTGCCTGTCGTGTGAAAATGGTGTTTCCTAGGTTTGTTAGTGTCAGACTGGATCCAGAGAGGGCAACAGGTTTTAAGTCCAACCAAGCAGGAGTAAACCAGACTCCACCACCTCAAGTCTTCAGGTTAAAGTACTTGAGGGAATGGGTGGAGTCTGGTTTGCTCCTGCTTGGTTTGAATGAAAACCTGCAGTCACACAGCCCTCTTTGATTAGGTATTAGCAGTGGGGGCGGGTCCGGCTCAAAAGTGGCCAAAATTATGAGCGCTGACATGCTTGCAATACCACCCCGGGCCGATGGGGGTGGAGCCAGAAGAGGAATTCGGGCGTTCTGCTCTCCCAAAATTCCATCCAATGGGCGGGGGAGCGACTGAATTTTGCGTTGCATTATGGGTAACACTTGCCTTCGCAACTTCCGGTTCTCTCTGCCCGGCGCATTTTCTCTAAATGGTTGAGTGTTTTCGTCATTTTCTGTATGCAAATACATTCCCGTCTCTAACTAGTGGCATATCGCGCAAATCATCCGTCCAATTCACATTCTTCCCTTGTTGTATTAAATATAGACTAAAAGGCGATGTGAATTAGATTGACCTGAAATTGAACTCTGTCTGTTTCCAAGCAAAAAGAAAGACCTTGTATTGCCCCACTCCCCTGGTCCCATTTTGTCCAAAGTGCATGGGTGAGTTAATGATAGTTAATCTGGGGGGATTCTGCTAATCCTTTCAAGTTGTGAAAGAAGGAGATGGAGCCCAGAATCTGGAGGAGAAGCCTTGAGCCCTCTGCCTTATCTCAAAGGAACTAATAAATCTATAGGTTGGGGAGGGGGAGTGTGTGAATGATTCTGTTTAGGTCTGGAGAGACGAGGAGACCTGATGGAGGCCGGACCCGGGACCGAGAGCTGACTGATACGACACGCCCCCTTCTTCTTGCACATTACTTAATGAATAGCTTGAATGTGTTTTTTTTAGTTAGTTTTTTTGCGGACCAGGGGCAGTGTATGGCTTGATGTGGAGCGCCCACTCAAAGTCATACTTTTATATTTTATATAGAGAATAAGGGATAGTTACTTTTGGTCCGAACAGCTGTTTTAGATTCTTTTTGTATTAGGGAAATAAACCTTTTTGAATTTAACTTTCTGAATCATGGTCATCTTTATAAGGGATTTTGAACACGTCATTTTTTAATACGTTACCCTCTTAGCTGAACTTCATTCTCATTGTTACCATCTGTCACTCGCACACACAGCCGTTTTCGTTCACTCTGCTCGCTGTCATCTTCTTCTAAATCTTCATAAACACCATCCGCTCGTTGAACTAGCAACAACAATTCCTCCTTTCGTTTTCCCACACTGCAAATACCCTTTCGCTTCAACCTTTCACGCAATTCAGGCACTGTCAATCGTTTGTTGTTTTCGTGAGCCATATTCGCCATTGTATGAAATCAACCGGAAGTGAACTGGGCAACAAACGGTGTCATTTTTTGATCACAGCGCCGCTCAGTGGATGAAATTTTGGGAGAGCAGAACGCCCGAATTAGCCAATGCTAACATATAGCATTGGCAGACCTCTCGAAAACCTCTTTACAGGATGGTCCAAAAGTTGGCTCTTGGCCCAAAGCTCCGTTCCACATGTGTGTCAATTCTGAGGGGGGTGCATTTGTTTGGTCCACTCTAGTTTACTCGCTGTGAATTTTTGAAGTCTCTCGTTCAAATGAATGGAGCTCTCGCCAGCTGACGCAGATGCGTTTTTTGACAATTTTCTTGTGGGCGGGACCACTCGCGGCCATTTTGGATTGCTCCAGTAGAGCACTATTTTTGGCCCATTAGTTAGAACGGCGGAGATAGGCGTGACTCTGTCCGTTAATATATACAGTCTATGGTTATTACGAATGAGGAGGGTCTAAGCTTGTCCTGGGCTTGATTCCACCTTCATGTCTTTCTGTGTGGAGTTTGCATGTTCTTCCCGTGTCTGCGTAGGTTTCCTTCAGGTGCTCCGGTTTCCCCTACCACATGTGCAGGATGTCTGAATGTAAAGAGTGAGCAAATGGTCGTGTTGGTTGGGAGCTTTGATGCTCCAGTGTGTTCAGTGTGTTGGGTGACCTTCGTCTGTAAAATCTGCTACAGTATATAACTTTTATGGACAATTACGTATATTCGTTATCTTGCTATGAATTAATGGCTCTGAGTATGCTGTACTTTTCTCCGTAGGGAAAGTTGATCTTTGCAGGACATTAGACGTCGTGCAATGCCACTGGGACAACCGGTCAGGAGCAGTGGTCACTTCGGTGCAGCGCCCAAGGACCCATCTCCAAATGTGGATGCTCGGTTTGATCTGGACCTGGGCTGGAGGATGTTTGTTGGAATGAAAACTTGTTCCTGGAGGACAGGTTTGACAACAGGATAATGTTAAGTAAGTAAGCTTTATTTATATAGCGCCTTTCACAGGCCTTTCTTTGTCACTTTACAATCATAGGAATTTGTCTCACTCCACACAGAGATGGGAGCAGGGTCCCCATACAGGAGGTGAGCCATCGTACAAACCGGAGCACCCTGAGCAAACCTACACAGACACAGGGAGAACATTCAAACTTCACTCAGAAAGGCCCTGTTCTGACCGGGATTCGAACCTTCTTGCTGAGAAGCAAGAGTGCTAACCAATCAGTCACGTGCCGCCCAATAATGACCGTAAACTTATGGATATTTCCAATACTACATTTCATTCCCAAAATTGCCAAAAATATGTTGTTTCCATGGGGATTGGAAAGTTTCTTGACATTTTCCATCGAGAATTCAATGCTTTGCCTTGAAGAGGAAGCAACCCATCTCCGAAAGTTGGATCGAGACATGATTTTGACTCTCCGCTACTGACATGGTTTATGCCTTCACTTTGTAACACTGCCATTTTTATTAAGTCATTCTCTTTAAATAAATAATAAGCTTCTATACATTATCGTTACTGTTTTTATCTACAACGAAAGTCAATAAAACGTCAATAGAAACATCCATCAACAACTCCATATGCTGTCTCCTCTTTGTCGCGTCTGTCTGGAGAGAAAGCCATCTGGAAAAACTAATAAAATTGTGAATGGGAGCAGGACGACAAACAAAAGACGGCTCTTCGCTCTCCAGTGTCCTGCGATATGATTGGTTCGAGACGAAGGGTGATGATAACCGCTTCGTCTGGCGGTGTTGGTTCTAGGACGGCCGAAGGGGAGAGGAAAACATGGGAGGGGGGT